AAGAGATACTTGTGATTCGCCACCTGCAATCGAACAAAGCGCACGGTTGAGGTGCCCATAGTCAGTGTGAACTGGACCCATGGCAGTATGCGTCCGATAAAGTGATACAAGGTCAGAACGAAATTAGAGGTAGTAAACAGCCAGGGCTGTCAAGCCAGGAGAGCGTATTCGACTTGCTTCGTACGTACGCGTTCAGCACCCGGAAGACGGATGAATGTCAACTGTCGACTGTACTTTGTAAGAGATCAACTTACTGGTTGCCTCAGTTTAAATCAGACACGGGCTGTCGGGAACCACAACGAATGGTCAAAAGGAGATGATAACCTTCGTATTCTATGAATATCTAAGCAAACAGCCATAACATAGTTTTTCTATAGGCCTGGTCAGGTGCGACTTTCTGAGTCTTCATAGACACACAACAATGGCTGCTGGTGACCGAAAAGTCCGTTGTAAGTATATATCTCGATATACCTAAGCCATTTCAACGATTTCCACACAAGATTGCGAAATGAGTTGCAATTTGTTGGCATCATGCAGTTGGTTGTATCTACCGACCTCCCCGAGCAAACCACCATGAAAACTAGCAGCTCATGGATGCCGACTACACAGTTTCTAGCAATACCTACAGGCCCAAACTTAAGTGCAACGATAACAACGCGCCACAAGTTAACAGGCTACTACCTGGAACTAGAGTATAAACGGGACCAAACGAAATGGACCCCATGAGATACGCTAAGACTGGATTACACAGGCTGGTAGGACTTTGTCATTGCTGCCTCTAAACTTGTACACCCTACCTAGAAATAGTGTAGTAAACATAACGAATTGAAAAATGGCGGTTATCATAAATCGACAAAAAGGGATCGGAGCTAAAGAGTCTACATGGGACTGAGGTACTCCACATCGAAACGAATAACCGGTTGTGTCTTAAGGGACGCGTGCATGGGCAGCTACTTTACGTATTCTACATAAACAATATCTGCGATCCCGTAAGATATGAACGCCCAGTTATGTTCCAATATGATGTCAAACTAGTCTGCTTATGTCGACCACTACGCCAGCGTAACATACGGGACGGTTGCGCCACCAAGAACTTATGTGTTCGCCGCTTCGGAAGTCTCCAAAATAAGGAAGCCGAAATGTTCGAGTGATCGGCTGTGTCAAAGTTTTTGCGTGATTCCATTCCACCGTTGTTAAGGCCTTTAATTTACTAAATTTTGACTTCATAAGCTGTCGGTTTTATTGCTGTCACATCAAGAACGAATGAATCGACATTGAGAAACTTTTGCATTTTCTGGATGTAGGCCTGTATTTAGGTTATGACACACCTGATCCCATATCCTGTCTCAGTAGTACAACCTTTTCATTGCGTAGCTATTGCGCTAAAGACTTACAATGATCCTTCGTCATGGTACGTCACTTCTAAGTGTTACTAGCATATAACTGTTTGGCAAGGTCTATAACCGTAGTTATAAATCAAGCGCTTGTCTCCTCATTGGTCTGTGTTCAACTGGGAAGGTGTTCGTTCAAATTTACAAACTGAGCCTCGACTGCCATTCTACTACATGGATTTGGTGAAATAGAGAAACTGCACCCCAGAGACAAGGTTTCAAGTTGGGGGTGACCTGCGGGAGAACGGATATCCCGAGGTATTTACGACATGACACGCGCACGCAAAACCCTATGAGAAATCATCAACTGAACTTCCGAAGAAAAGAGCGCGTTATCCAGCGCACGAATTCAGTCGATAAATCACTGCATGATACATATATTTACAGATTATCAATGTGATGCTCAGATATGACAACGAAGTTGATATTCGAAGAGCCCGCTGGCTCTTTGCGTACAGTGCAGCATTCGCCTGCTGGTGTTTGCTAGCACTTTCTCTAAACTACCAATTGTGATCCCGCGACATTCGTGCAAAATGCTCTGATTCAATTCCTCAAGAGTTTGGCTTCCTTTTGTAAACCCGCTGTTTCAAGTACTCCCCAAGGAAGAAATCCAATGGGTTCAAATCTGGTGACCGAGCAGGCCGCTCTATAGGTCATCGCCGCCCGATCGGACGGCAAGGGAATGGCTGGTTGAGAAAATCCCGCACCATTTGTGCATAGTGTGCAGGTGCGCCATCTTGTTACAACCAAACGGTACTTAACAACCTGGCAGCTTCCAGTTCCGGAATGACACAGTTTTGCAGCAGTTCCTTGTACGAGGATGCTAGAAAACGTAAGGCGTTAGTACTGCGAAACAACAACCTACCGGTTACATTACCGGAAAAGCAAAATGGTCCCACGATTCTTTGGCCAGTTAGCCCAGATCATAGCACGAGCTTCGCGACATGTTGTGTACGTGAAGCGCTGCATCTGCGTGGATTACACGTTGCCCAAAACTGTTGCTTCTACGTACCGTGCAAACGGACAACAGCCTCCTCCGTAAAACGATTTGAATGGATGCCCATGGCATTCAAAATACTGCGGCAAAAATCAAGCCGCTTCTCCGAATCACATGCGGTTAAAACCTGCACTCGACGGGTGCCATACTTCCGGCATTTCCTTTCCTTCAAAATCCTATGGACAGCATACCTTGTGGTAACGCAATGCTAGGCGATTTGACGGATGCTCAGCTCGCAGCTGCTGAATACCTCAGGAATAACCACACAAGCAAAAAAGTCATCCGTGGAGATGCGAGGCCGCCCTGTCCTTTTGGTTTCGCACACCCTCCCAGTTTTCTCAAATTTGCTCACAGCCTAGGAACATACCGGCCATTTATGTGCCGCTTGGCACTGTGGATATGGTTGTATTGTCAAGCAGTTTGTCCAGCGTTACACCCGCACTCATCATACAGACGAAAATGAATCGCTCGCTGATTAACAGGCACGCAGCACGCTTCGGATTGAGAACAACATGGGGACGGCGGTATATGTTCGTGATCCATCGCCAAGCCAGTGATCCGATAAACAAATTGTAAGAATGTGAGGTACATCTCAGCCCGTTTCCAAATCAGATAATCGTCCACATGCGCGGAAAAGCACTAGACTGCGGTTTCAGCCTGTCGGACATCGTCAGTAGTGCGCATTCTTCAGGATTCGGACCCACGACCACCGGCGGCTTGAACCGCCAGTCAGCAGCTTATGCCACTGGGCCACGGGGGACAGCTTCGGACCGTCATGATTTACAAGCTTACTGCCAGTTACCGCGTCTTATCCTCCACTGCCATGCAAGTTACGAACGTTGCAGAGGACAGCGTTGGCCCCGGAAGACACGACGTCCACTAACAGTAGGTATGTACGACATAGCATTTAGAAACTGTCAGGGTGGATATAATTTGGTGTACTCATGAGTAGGGGATTTTGTTGTAATTATGTGAGGTCTATCGCAGCCAGTTTCCTGCCCTCTGCAACGTTCGTAACTTGCATGGCAGTGGAGGATAAGACGCGCTATATGACAGTTAGCTTGTAAGTCATGACGGTCCGAAGCTGTCCCCCGTGGCCCAGTGGCATAAGCTGCTGACTGGCGGTTCAAGCCGCTGGTGGTCATGGGTTCGAATCCTGACGGCTCCGATGGATGCGCACTACTGACGATGTCCGACAGGCTGAAACTGCAGTCTAGTGCTTTTCCGGGCATGTGGACGACTATCTGATTTGGAAACTGGCTGCGATGGACCTCACATAATTACATCAAAATCCCCTACTCGTGAGTACATCAAATGGTAAGAAGTTCACCACTTCGCCTAGTCATAGTGTGATTGCTCTTTGTGTGTGCGTGTGTGTGTGTGTGTGTGTGCATTTTGTGACCAGCCTTGCTCTACACTGATAAGGTCAGCGTTCGTTACTCTCACACTGATTTCCGTTAGTGGTTTGCCTGCCAGTCTTCAATCGCATCTGCGTCAGGTTATCGTGTGCTTTGGATACTGAGGTCGGCTGAGTCTCCGCGTCAGCCGATGCAGTTTGCAGATGTGTCCACTTCTCATGTGGCTCAACAAAAGGAGCAGAGAGACAGCTGTGACACAGCTTATGCGCAATCTCATGGACGCTTACGTTCGTGCACATCGTGCCGATTAGACGGGTTCAGTTTAGCGAGAACGCGTCGAATTTCCTTCAGACGCTCATTGATGCAACAAACAGGGATGCCGCTGGAGCTATATTCTCAGACTGCCCGTAGCTTTCGACCAATGTGACAAATGTACTTGTTCTCATAGCTACTGGCCATTTTGTGTGGACAATAGGGCGTGCAATACTTCGACATCCGGGTCTTCACCGAACAGCTTAGCAGTGGTCGCATTTACAGTGTCAAAATTAATTAACCGCACTGTATGTGTGCTTTATATTGTATCAGTAAGTACATAAAGTTCGTTGACATTTGAGCCGCCATAATTCGTTCTTGTTACGCCGCATCATTGAAGCCCTATGGGTAGTGCAATGGCTAACGTTTGGATTGCAGCGCGCCGAACAGCAGTTTGTCTCTACGCACTAATCGGTCGCCACTTGGCTAACGCTTGATCTCACGTACCTTTGCTTCCTGAAACCAATATTGGCTGCAAGCATGTAAGCGAACAGTATGAAATTAGTACTTGTTTGCCCACAGTTTTAGGACCAAGTCTGAATGGCGTCTTGTGTACAGGCTGCCACCACTGATAATTTGGTTGGATGCTTCCTGTTGTGCCAACGGTCGCTCGTTTTTCGAACTTCAGGCATTAAGCCAGAAACGTGAGCGAAAACGCTCCCAGCACATCGAGATGCCAAGGCATTGACTTGGTGCCTAATGACATACAATGCAGACACAAGAAAACATTCTCCTATAGCACATGTTTAGACAGTACATCTCAGTTGTGCGGTCTAAATTTAAGCCCATTACCATTAAGTTGTAGCCTTATATCATGTAATAAGATATAATGTATATTTGAGCAGACACGCGTATACGGTGCCAAAAGTAGCTATCGAAAAACACTAGTTTTAGTTGTTAAATCCTTCAAAAAAATCTAGGTAAGTCACCAGGACCACATACTTGCCGTCCACCGAGGAACTCTCTGAATGTCATCGCGTGACACCCTTCCGATTCATTATTGGCTTGCGTTACTGCCATCTCAGTATGCCGTCCTTGACTCAAATGTAAGTATTTTTCCATTATGTCTATTGGAGTTGTTCCATCGGCAGGCGAAGCAGCAGCTTCGATATTATAAATAGAAGGAAATGTGTCAGCTTCCTCCGGTGTTCCAGATCCGTGAACTGTAAAAGAAAAGAATGGCATTCCATTATCGTCTTGTCTGAATTGATTGGAATATTAATTCACAGCCCAAGTACAGGTGTATGTCACATATATAAGAATAAAGGGTAACAAAATTGGTTAGTAAATGTGTCAGTTACCAGTTCACCAATACTGAACTCAACCAGTTATTCACCAGCCACAACACTGAGCTCAGCGGTTCCTGTCTGAAACCGAATGAACAATATAGCCATCTGGAATGGTGATATGATTATTTCTATCGTCGGGTTAGCCAACATTCTAACTCTTTCCCAAACTCAGTTGTTTCCTTCCCCACCTTGGATATTTCCAAAAAGCGATTGGATTTTGCACTTGGTTCCCAGCACTCGGTTGCCAAAACTGTGCTACTTTGGAAAATATTAGGCATACCTTCCGACGGGATTTATGTGTCACATAGACCTAAGGAAGCGGCATCTGAGTGAGTATTTGTTTTTTAATTTTTGTTGTTCGTATTTTACACTACTGTTGCTCATCAACAAGTGTACTCGATAGGCGTTCAAACACACAACTCATCTTTTGATATGGTAATTTTACCCTTGGCATCCTGCAGGACTTACTAAGCGACCGCTATTTTACCTGTGGTAATTCGATGTCCATTGTCTTCTGAACTCATTCATATGGTGCAGTCCCATGCCATTGGGACAGAGGAGAGAATATGAATCTAATTTTAAGAGCATGGACTCGTGTCGCCTGAGGAAAAAGAATGCACACGGTCAAAGATACCATATGCCTCGTTATGGCACAAAGTGACGCTTTCAGTCCTGAAAAAGATGTCAGTGCAACTCAGAGATCAGATTGCCTCCTAAGTGCCAAAATAGCTGCCCTTGGGAACGATTATGTAGTAACGTGAGTGATGCATGCTAGTAACTCATAACCCCGGGAGTGTATGTTGAGGAAACAGACTCTCCATACTGAGGCCCATGGCTGATAACAATTCTAGGTGAAAGATGTTAGTACATCCCGCAAATGTGTAAAGGCTGCAATGTCTAACCTTACTTACCAACGTCGCATGGTGCAACACGTTCGTCAGTCTGTATATTCATATTATTGGGCTTCAATTCGTGTCCGGTGTGGCTTGAAGTTTGAATGTCTAATGCAGTGTGTGATCGGTCCTCGGAAATAACCGGCTGTGCAGGCCGTCCACAAGGGATCTGATGCTCCAATTCGGGAGTACGCCGCGGCATTCCTGGTGGAGTAGCAGCACAAATTCCTGCTTCTTTTACTTCAGTTGCACCATGCAAAGACACATTCATAACAGGAGAGGAACAGTTTGGATCGTCCCCCTTAGCCGAATGCTTCAAGCTCGGAAGATTGCGATGTGGTGGTTGTGTCGAGTGACTGGAGACACTTTTTGCATCACATTCTTTGGCATGGCCTTGAGTAAAGTTAACACATGTTGGCGGTTTGAGACACTCCGAATCACCAATGTCAACGCTGGGGGTTGACTCTGCAGAAGCAGGCCATTCTACGATACCTGCAAATGAATTAATGCGTTACACCAAGCATGTGTTTGCAGGCGCCACTCGCAATGGTGCATAACAGAGCGCATATGATTAGCTCGCAGCCATACGAATAGCACGACACATCAACTATAATTAAGCCGTATTAACGGTAGAATGAGCTCATAATCTGTCCAAAGACATAAAAAGCGGCATGTCGGCTTGTCAAGGTTAAGCTGTTATGTGTTGCTTGATCAGACTTGGTAAAACGGAACTACGACGCCCCACTAGTGAGGAGATTTTTTGTTCCAATATGCGTGTAGCAACACCGCTCTAACATTTTGGTAACCGCTAATGGTCAGCACTTGGGTTGAGTCAAGAAGCTCGCTTTAAACGAGCCTTGTTTTTCTGTTCGGGAGACACAAGCACAGGGTGTTGAGTTCAAGAAACGTGTCCAATAAAAGTAGCGCAATCATAGTCATATACTGAAACACATGAGTCTAAAGTGTACTTGACCGTTTGTGGTGTGATGAACCAGTGTGCTCAAGAGTGCCTCGAGTCTAAAGTGACTGCCGCTACCACTCCGCCGTTATCTCTTTCAATGCTGCTATCTGTTCGGCATGCTGTAGTTTTTGCTGTTAGCATGCTTGCTTCTGTAGTTTCTTGTGACTGTGGTCAGCATCATAATACCATGGATGTTGTTGCTTGTGATGACGATGTTGGTGGTAGTATACATTGTTTTACTTTTTTATAATCATTATTGATTGTGCCATTGTTTCGGAAAATAGGTCAGTTAGATGGGAGACGCTGCTGGGATGTGAGCTAAAAATGAACTCGCAGGACTCGGTATCTCAGGGCTGAAGTCAATGGGATGGCTTGAACTGGGAATATGCCTGGAATATTCCAGAGAGAGAACACTATGAAACAGCTGAATCTTCCCGAGAAGTTGCGTTTGTGCAGTATGAAGAGCTAATGACATCGGTTTCCAGTATTCTGTCTCCGAATTTGTTAACAGACGTAGATGAACAGAAGGCAGCCTATGTTTTCTTCCCTTTACTGACTGCAAGATCAACGTAACCCCGCAGGAAATGGACAGAGAAACGTGCAAGCTGAAACAATAACTCCTTGGGAGCAGCTCACATCCCTTCAAAATCGATTTCGTGTGGGTAGATCGACAGTACGCACTTGATAGTGCCCACAATAGAAGGTGCCGGCTGGTCAATGCAATCGTTTGGTACCTACCAGCCGTCAATCACCGATGGAATAGGTCTGAAGTACAAAAGGCGTTGGCTGGGCCATAAACCGCTACACGATGATACTTATCACAATCCCAATGACCGTCCGGTACGTCCCCTCCAGCATTTGTTAGTAGTCAGCTGGGGCCAGAACTCGGAATGGCTACACACAACACTTGGCCCAGCGTATGGAGGGTAAGAAAATCTGCTAACGTGACTGGCAATACCCACCAACCACAAGACAAAATACATCCATTCCACACTTGTTGTAATCTTTATCACCGGCGGACATCTACATTGTGGTGCAATAGTTCCGGCACTCCCACATCATTGTACATGTTACAGCGTGGGATGTGTGAATAATACCCGTTCACTGACCATATAAATAACTGTGGGCTTTATGAATGGGTGGTGGCCGTATCGGGACAGTTCAAGGTGTATGTGTTTAAAAGTGCACTTACTCATCCGATTATACTCTAAAGTTAAATACATCAGTGGTCACAATAGGTGAACTTCAATAAACGAACGAACAAACAAATAACACTAGGGAAAACACCATCCACTTGGATTCTTACGGATGGCTTTCGGAAATTTCGAGCCATCAATCCCTCCGCAAATGCTGAACGTCTACGTGAGGCCTAACGTGGAAGATGCGATCCAGGCCTGGCGTCGCTGGTGAAAGAGCAATATCAATATACTTGAAGCTCCATAATGTAGAGCAACCAAATTCGTTAGAGAATTGTTTCATCTCTCCTACCAGCGCAGACTGTGGTCTCTGAGATTGTACAATGGTGTATATCGAAGTCAGCAAGGAGGCCTCATCATGGTTTACTTAACACTGACAAACCCAATTCACCCATGTGGTAATTTGTTGCAAATGAGACAAAATGCCAGCTTGAGAGGCCATCAGCTCAAACTCGCTACGCACTACAGTCGAGTTGATTGTCGACACATGTCTTCTCCCTCCGTGTGTTCCGTGACTGGAATGCCCTTCCGACTTACGTCATCCTTGTCCCTACATTAACGCTATGCCAAAAACGCCCTGATGACATTCGCTCTAACTTGCACTACTTGATTTAGTTTGTTTAACTCGGAGGACGAAACAACGCCAACCAAACTATGTGCTTAACGGCCCTCTTCGCAACATGGCGGTGAGGATACATGCAGAAGTATCCATGTGAGTAGCATGGATGTATCTAAACTGGATTATCACACCTGTCAAATGAAGCAACACACGAGTGCGTGTTGTCGTTTCCATTTTCGCTTACGCATTTACTGAACTATAACAGCCCTCTATATTATTTTGTGTGCGTACATCCCATTCCCATTTCAAACTATCGTTATTCAGCAGTGCATTTAAATCATTGATCCTTTCAATTTTAATTTTCACTCCAACCATCCTACAGGACTTGTCAAGCACATGCTATTTACCAGTGAAAACTCATTGCTCATTGTTCGAAAGCATAGGGAAAAGCTTAGTAGTATGTTAACTTGCGGTTTGAATAAACGGAACCTAGTTGTTACCGCTGGACTGGAGACAACACATGCACCACCTACACGAGTTTACGGCAGTTTTGAGGGCAGGAAGGGGAAGGTGGGTTTGAGAGCAAGAAAAACAGTGACTGCATACCCAGAGGTATCGAGCTCGACGTGCATTATCAAATCTGGTCTGCAGACACGACGGGTGTCCGTGTCTGACCAACTCAGCAAACAAAGACGACTCTAGACTAGTCTGAGGAGCGCTGGCGGACGTGTCCAGGGCAGAAAATGAACACCACATCATCTACGCGCCCGAGTTTAACAACGTCTGCGAGTGTGACCTTGTAACACGGACCACTTGTGACCATTCCATGCACTATTTTGAGTGATGTGTTGACCTCTAAGGCGATGGGTCTTCTGCCTACATCCATTCGTCGCGATTATCATCCCAGTTAGTTAAGTGCTATCCCTACCCTCGACTGGCTCACTCGGCCCGACGAAGCTTGTATTAAGAGCGAAACCTTGCCCATAAACTATACCAACCGGTTATTTTTAAACCTTTCTAAAATTAAATGTTGAAACAATTGTCACACACACAAGAGCTTCTCAGAATGGTACTGTTCAACACAACAAAGCGAAATTGGCGCGATCTATCATGAACAGGGCGCAGTGTGACCTCAGGCATGGCAAAGGTGAGTTGAAATAAGCATGGCCGATGAGCAATGCGTATGGGTCAACACGTTTGAGGAGACGGCATAGGACACGAAAAAGTGAACCAGCAACCAAATAGCGCTTTAAATTCACATGCCATATAAATATTTTTACTGTTCACGAATAACATTTGATGTCACAACCTAGACTTCATTTTCAACTTTGGAGTAACCAATGGCAAAAGACCGCGGGACACCTTCGCTATAGGTTTTTGTGGTTAACTTGTTTTCGACATCGAGATATACTGTCTGGAGGGCACGGACTAAGTATACTGAAGATCGTACTAATAGGCAATTGCTATGTTTGCCTTTATTTTGCTAACCCCTAACCGATCCTTCGGCGGGATACGTCAAGTTTCGACATTTTATCCGAAATATACCATTGAACTTGACAGAAATCAAGGGAGTCCACGGTTGTATCCACCTCTGATCCACTATTAAACTGACTGATAATGCTAATTGAATCGCGGGGGTGACAACTGCTCAACGGACGTAACTTCTAAAGACATCCTAATCCAGGCATTCCAACTCGAGATATCACCTCTGAATATATGGTCAAACTTATAATTACACCAGGTTCGAACATTAGATATCTAGTCGAATAATTGGCTGGAAGCAACCTCTGCGCCTACAAATATCGTGCTTAGCAACTAGATTTTTAACTTCCGGCATCCTCCGTATGCTTTGTATCACCAGTTGGTCACGAACCTGGGATTGTGAGATCAGTATTAAACTGACTGCTGCAAGAAATTTAACAATGGTGACCGTTACTAGAAGCATGACAGCGAAGATGCCATTTCGAATATGTACTAACTGGTCTTGGTGAATCGACATGCCCCCAAGTATAGGTAATCCAGGTGGAGCTGCGATCTTAGCGATTTGAATTGGACGCTGTTATGGTAGAAACCGTCACATTGAGCATGTCTCTGCGCCCGCTGTCATTAGGTATCTGGTCGAGGCCACCGAAGTAGCTGATCCACTTTTTCTGCTTTTAGGCCCCCTAGATGCATACTGACTCGATAATGTCCCATATGGATCTCACCGTCGATGACCATAATGGTGCGGTGCTTGCTTGTTGTACATGAGAGAAACCCCAAGGTAAATTACTCAAAATAGGTTTAAACGCTTATGTTTTCAAACTTTGGCTTAGTCTCAGCCATTCACTAAATCGCCCCTACACAGCTCGTATGGCTAAATGCTGCGCATATGCTTAGCGCCCATGCAAGAGCATGGCTAATTTTGCACATAATGAACTTTCCGTTACATACACCGTTCCTCAGATCATGAGAAATATACATATTGGGAGCAATATCACCATAATGTGGTCGAGTCGCTGGAGTGGATATGTAATTAGTTTTGCCCACTGAGTTGCTGTGCCAACGGAAGCAATTTTTGTTTGTTGCAAAAAACTTGTTACTAGTTCCCAGTGATTTAATATACCAAGAAAGTGTGTTATGATTCAGTTAGGCATTAACATGTCTGGAAAAGCACCAGACAGCGCTATTTCGACCTCCTGGGTCTCGTCAGTGTTGCGCCTATCTCGGATCTCTGCCGGGTTGCGATCCCGTGACTTCCGGATACCAGCAGCTTGTGACACTAAGCCATGGGGGACGGTGGCAGACCTCAATGACTGACAGTTGCCTATGATTGCCTGCGCCGACCAGTCCAGAATTAGTCAGCAAGCATAAACGTACGGGCTGAAGCAAATGCTGTCCAGGCGCGGGTGCTCCATTCAATTTCATGTTACTCATAAGCAACAGAAGTACGTAGGAGGGAAATGGGATGTTCTTGTTTATCATTAATAACTGGCGTCTGCAGTAGGATGCGTTGATGCGAGCCAACAGCAGTAATCCACATGGCGTAGCAATTCCATCGGCGCTATCCGCGATATCAGTGGGCCCAAATTTTTGCACAAGCAAACGAATCCTGGAATATAGACCCACTTTAGTCCAAATTACGATAGGCGGCAATTCATAGCTCTGCCCCATGTCAGCCACCCGGTATACCGCAGCAACAGCAAAACCCACAAAGTAAGGCCAGTTGACACTGATCAAAAAAATTCCAATTGCAACTGGATGTCAGACGAGGTTGTCTGTGCATCTTCAAACTTCTGTGACTGTCCAACCCAATCTGCGTATCAACAGATATACACACGGCTTCAAGAGGCGCTGCAGAACTACTTTGCAAGCATCTATCCTCAATGAAGAGTCATGCGTAAGAGGGCAAAACAATGTGTTCGTTCGACGTCGATCGCTGGTCAATTCTTCAGTCCTCGTAGGTCCCAACACGCCGGTCAAGGCATCCGTCCAAAGAAACAACACGCATATTCTGTGTGCACAAAGCAACTATGTGGGGAAGTGATTTCAGTGAGATTACAAACCACTAGATATGGGTTGAACATAAAAGCTAGTAAGTACGGCATTGGAGATCCCATGCAAAATGGTAGATCACCAGAATCAGCCACCTCGGTTTGATACCTTTATGTATCTGAAAGTAACGCATTTTAAAATGAAAAGCGTATCGCGTGTATGCAAAATAACCGTCAGTCGCTCCAATATCATTGATTAATCGCTAACTAAGAAGCAATAAAAGAAAAGACATAATCAACTCAGCAGTTTTAAGCGCCTAACTATCTGTATTGTAGTATTGTGCAATGGGCCTATTTCGGACTAACAAGCCATTGGTTTTTAATTCCTGTTCAACGGAACACGCGTCTCTGCATACATTGTGCTGCACCAAAAACAATGAAAAGTTATCCAATGGATAGTGATCAGCTTTAAGTCCAAAGCGTATCCTTTTACAACTAGGCATCAAGATTTGACACATTGTTAAACACGCCATAGCTTTTTCCACTCTCATAGTCGGAAAGGACAAAACTCTCTTCACTCTATGTGCAGAATAGCCAGTCGAATTCAGATAAATACGACATAAGTGGTCTAGTCGCCAGACGTATGTAAACGACCGTTGAAGACGAAACGTGTAACCTCCAACGACGGGACCGAGAACCAGAAAATATACAGGCCCATAGCAAGTTCGTCTATGGAACACGCCAAAGGCAAATCATGCCTTATACATCTACATATTTATAACGCAATAGTAGATCAGCGTAATATATATCAGTTAGAGGCAAGTGGATACTGAGAATGCACATGAATCGCCAAATAGTGGTAGTGTCCTGAGGAAACTCCGTTGACGGCAGTGTGATATGAGGCGCTGCGTAAAGCAGTGTCATCAGGAAGAGTTCGGTTGGAGTCTATGCAGTTTACAGTGACATATTACTGCGATGTCAATGAGGAGAATTCAGCTGTTTCCTGCACCGTTAGAGTCGCCGCATGGTGACCGCATTGCTGAGGTGAATTCAGGCGAGCTCTATGTTAGTTTCGCAACACCTCAACGTAAACGTAATTCACTTTCTACCCACCACTAGATGCTTTCGGTTAAAGTCGTATCAGTCAACCCACAGACCAGTCCGGACCATAAGGAACTTGTTGCTTCTGGAATGCTTTCACTACATCCGCTTTTCACTCACGTATCTCTAAAATGTTAGCTAGGGGAACCAGACGCTGCCTTGAGTTTAAATAATACTCTAGTCGAATCTTTCACTGGGAGAAAAGCATTTCGTCTCAGTTTTGCCTGAAATACATGCGTTCGGACAGAATTAGCATATTTGTACGATAGGTCAAATTGATCGGCGCACGAGTTGTGTTTGTGGTTACACGAGTTCGGGCCCAACGATGGTCACAAACCAGTGAGTGACGTTGGGAAACAGATTAACAAGATCTCTGTTTCGTGTTGTTCAGAATGAGAAAAAAACTTTATAACGAGCCACATGAGTGCCAATTTGTCAACTAAAGCAAAGAAGCGACTAGTCTCATGGCTTTGTAACTTTCCAGTGATGAGGCCATGATCTGGATATAAGTAAAATATCAGATTGATTGGAAGATTATATCTTGATAGGCCATTTTCAACCATTCGACTCCTCCTCATCTGATAGCCTGCCTAGGTAGCCAATAAACAAATTTCATCATCTAAAAACGCTCACAAAGTGATGTAATTAAGTTGGGATGTAACACAAACCTGCATCATTTGCTTGTTCGGTAGTAGCCTCCTGCGTCTGCTTGCGCGACTGATGTAAATTAGCTGAAGTCGCCGGTGTGGTGACTAGCAAGCGTGGAGCCATTTGAAGGAGGATGTCGCTGCATGGGATGTAAAGGCAGGCTCGTTCAATGTAAATTTCCGGACACATGACAAAAATGTAATGTCAAGGATGTTGTCTCAGGGGGTATAGAAAGTGACACTTTTACCTATCACGGTGCCGAACCATGTCACTGGGAATTGGGAATAGTGTGTATGTTGGTACTGATGTGAATATGTTGTATCAGGGTACAAGCAAATTTTTCATCTGAAAACTGTTTAGTAAGCAGTTGCTGCTTAAGCCTGTACACAAAATTACAAGAAGCCTACGCTGATTGTACGATAACTATGAGGTGTATATTGTGTTGACATGATCAAAAGCAGGCTGTGGAGTTCCGAGGTTTGAGGACAAGTTGACATCCTAATAACCGTGATATGAGAGACCCTTACGGATTAGCAGGGTTGATGTTGTCCTTGAAATCCGGTTCACGTTTCTCATTCACCCTCGTTTTCACAATATCCGGATCAAAGTTGGGCTGAAAAGAACAGAGTACATGCAATTTCTATATGATTGTTTAGGGTTTGGAAAAAACGCTATTTTGTAACATTTGAAATTCAGTATCTTACGTTGTCGTACAGAATATTGCGGATGCACTGCATTTGCGCAAGTGTGTGTCTAGTGCCTCGAAGCACAAAATATTGTGAATGTTTCGGGACTTTGTGCTTCCTTGAAAGTAAGGTTTCAAAAAACGACCTCAATGTGTTACTTTAAACTGGAACACTTCCTACACCACGAGTTCAACTTCCCATACAATATACAGGGCAGTAGGAAAAGATTTCGGAACTTAGTAACGCCTACTTATCAGTGAATTCCACAACTATCCGCTCGCCAACAGCCATGTAGTTCTTGCGCTCCTCCTCCCTTGCGAATTTTCCTCCTCTCTATGTTCTCTCAGTTTATTCCCTGTAAGCTCATTCTGATGAGATCTAGTAGCTCCATTCGCTGAAACATCATATGCGGGATTATTTTTTCAACATCATGATTTGGTTACAAAATATTAGACGGCTCGCATGCTTAAACTCAAGAGCACTACCGTATTGCTTTTGCGACCATTCTTCATTTGTGTAAAATCGACGCAGAAATCTCGAGGCTATCTAACGATCCCAAACTTATCCGAGTACGGAGTACCCCAAGGTGTTGGAGGAATCTGTGTATCCTTATTCTTGCATATCGCTTACATGCAGCTTCAGAAGCAAGCTCTTGCACCGTCGGTAAAGAAAACAATCGACCGAGCAACCAACAAGGCGTGCATGTTTAGCTTAACAGCAACTGCAGCTAAGCGACTGCATACACACTGGTCGCGTGATTCACGCCGCCATCGACGCAGGTTTTACAAGCTGCGAGACACCGTAAACTTGTATGTCATCAATGAACATGGTCCATTCCACGCATGAATTTGCCTTATGTATTAAATCCCTTAGGACGGGATTAACTATTTTAACTGCACTAAAGTAGTTTACTCTAAATGTGTACTATTAACTCCTCTCGAAGCTAAGCAGCACAACCGCGAACTTGTGTTTTGGCTCCATTAGGTATTCAAAGCCATCCAGCTTGTTGTCAGTTTAAATGTGCCAATACAAAAGTGCGACAGGCTGAAGGAAGCAGTTAAGCACCCACCACGTACCATTGGAAGTAAAGGAAACAACGTTTACATCTCAACGAACAAATATAAATTCCTCATTCAGACCAAAACAGTGATCCTGGCATCCCAACCACAACTAAGTGTCTTACAACAATTACAACACAATTCACTTCCTTATGTGGACAAGTCGCCTACAACTTACCCACTTCCACTTCCTTCCAGGGTATGGCACCTAGTAACTCGGTCACCATACTTGAGTCCCGAAGGCCGTAGAGATTGCAAAATGTTTAATTATTGTTATGCTTACGCTTTCACATTTTTTTGCAATCCATCTACGCCTTGTATAAACTAGTTAATAACATACACAACTTATCTAAGCTCGTCTTCGTGTGGTTCTGCCTTGCTTGCTGCCTGTCGTTGAGTATGGTGCGTTCGGTTGCTCGACTGATCCACTGTCGGAATATACATGCGAATACCTAGGCATACTTTGTGCTCTGTTTTTGTCAAACGCTGAATATAACCAGGACCTATTTATGTGAGGTGAACGCATTCTAATTTATGGTTTTCCACAAACTGCAGTCAGTCCACAGTAGACAAAACAACAAGGAATAATGCGTGTCCGTTGCTTTCAAGCAAACGCAGAAAAAACACCCGTGACTGTACTTACCGGACCGGGCAATACTGAAGTGTCGTAGCATGGACTGCTAGGACCATTAACTTCCCCAAATCCACAGAAACCAACAGAACCTAGTGCTCGTAAACCGGTAACCAGTTGGCTCGCCTAACACCTGCCCAGTGGTGCCAGCTGGGCGGTTTGGGTTAATCTCGTTCTAGTGAATTGTTGAGTTGCAGTGTTCCAGAAACCATTGGGTTAACCCATAGCAAGCCTTCTCCCTATAAAAAGCCACAAATGTCTGTTTAACAACACTGTGACGTGGCGGTCGTGACTCGCCACAAAATAAAGTCACTAACCCGTGGATATCCGGATAATGCTTTCCAAACCACGGACACCAATCTTCTACTTGCACATAGCCGACGATATCAAACATTTAAGAATGGAGCAGCACAATTACAAGCACAAACTATACAGCTACATACACATGCACAATGACATACTTACATACCCCCTACTCAAACATACACTGTTATGGCAAACAAATCGGATTTTCGCACATTCTTGATCACGCATTGTTTTGTCCAAATGAGCATGCCGGTAATGGCGTACCTCACCTTGTCGAGAACAAAAGCTTTATTTATTTATTTATGATCATGCCTATACGGACGTGCCACGCAAGGTCGAGAATATAAAAGTTAATTAATTAACTTATTATTTAATTAAATCTTTGGGACACTGACTTTCCTGAATCCAGTCTAACACGATAATACATAAGCCGATAGACAATTGTAACCAATGGGATTCTATCTGTGATGCAATCGGTATCCGTCCTGACCCCAAAAACTGAGACAAAGCGCACGCAACCCAAATTCATTGCATTGTGGAGAGCTTTGAATATTTCGAGCAACATTACATTTCGCAGATGAAACAGAGGCCCATGTGTTGACTGTGAATCGCTTCTTCAATGCTCTAAAATGAGTGCGCTTACTACCGGACATCCAGTAGAGGAAACATTTAATGTACACGGCCAACCATTAGAAAAATCCAAAACACAAGGATAAAAAAAGTATTGTTCACGGTGTTACCGAGTCTCAAGGTTCCTCCTTCGATGATACACAAGCAGAAGACTGGGGGCAATGGCATTAGATCCATGAGGCCCTGTCGCTAGAAAATGTCACTACTAATCCGCTGATAAGGATTCCCGTGTTATCCAATTAAAGAGGGTGTGGTCCTAGGTTGCTGAAGTTGGTGTGACAGTCTGAACGGAGTAATAGGCGTACTTGAAAGTCGCAGATTATCTTCTTTCTTCAATACAACTTTTCACGGTATAATTTCACCTCACTATTCTCCGTCGCGATATTTGATTGGTGCATGTCTCACATAAAGTTTGTTGGCAACATTCAGTCAACTTAGAATACAGTGGAACACCAGATGCACTGCTCAAGTGAATCCTGCTGATTTGCACTATCGATTGGATAAACGTTTTCGCTAATATACAAACTGCAATTTTATCACTAGAACAGCGGTAAACGAAACTTGTGGAATGACTAATTAACCTCTTTACATTCTAACCCATTGGTGGTTATTATTTACTTATCCTTTGAGAATTTTTCACAACGTAAGGTGATGAACGACAGCAGATGTAGACGAATGTAGCACCAACCGATTATGTTTGGGATTAAATGGTTGTTATTTCGGCGTTAAGGAGAATCGTCAGAAACCGAATTGCATCTCTTACCTGTGTTGCCAGGGGGTTTGACTTGAACGGATAATAATCGTAATTTTGATCATTTTTCGCCATTGACATACTGAATGGCCAGTTGTCCATGCTAGATCGCTCTCTGCCTAGCTGCTGAGAGCTTGAAGCTCTCCAACGGCAGTAGGCCGACTCCAGTTGCTCAGATTCACACTGAATCTGATTCAATCTGTGCCTTGTCTTTTTCAACTGCAGTGCCCATTCAGCGCTGTGTGGAAAGAGACTCGTTTTACCATAGTCTGCTTGACCTTTGTACTGAGCCCCAGTGCACAGTGCTTTGGAGATTTCCGATTCTGTGTCACTTGCCAGAGAATTTTCACGTTCTTCAGAAACTGTGTTAGAGCAGAAAACACGGACAGCATAATTCAATCTGTTGGGTTCGCTTAAAGTGCCTTCTGCAGTACAGTGACTAGGAGAATTGTGAAGCGCACTAACAAAACACCGCATGTAATTTATACGCCTTGGCTTGAAATTATCAAGCCTTCAGCGTTTCCAACCAGAGATCAGTAATCAATTTCGAATATAAATTAACACATACTGTATTGCTTCACAAAACTAGCTGATCCGCGATTAGTAAAGTGAACACTTTATTTCTGCATGCCGGTAGATTGACTAGAGTGAATTTCGCTTGGTCACTTTGGGATCCACCCATACATGAAATTAAACACTAACCTAACCATGGAACTCCCTAGCGGTAAAGAAAAATGCGGCATGCACATGCGACATTTGCGCTAGCTACAGTCAGTTGGAAGGCTGCAAAGGGTGTGCTAACAGACAGTCAAGTCTTTGCGCGGGGCTTGCGGGATCGAAGCATGTACACCATACCCAACTATTAGGTTGACTTCCGAAATGGCTAGCCCGAGCTGGATCTCGATCACGCTATTTACACGGCCCAGTGCATCGCAAAATTCGTCCGTTGAGACGTGCTGTGGTTTTTGTCTAAAAGTGCAATATTTCAAGCTGGCAAAACTATATATTTCGAGGCCATGGGGTTCCAAGCGATGTGTTGCTGTGACAGCGGTCATAAAGCTATGATCTGGTCCCACTCGCATACACAGTTGGTTTCTGGAATAGCAGTCATCCAGCCATGTTTTGTACCTTAGCTGACAGCTCCAGTTTCTCAGCTGTCAACACGCAAAGTACCCCGGCTCGATTATACTTCAACACAATTCCACCTTCCTCATGTTCCTCTTACTGCTTCGGATGTTGGCGGAAGCTTCCAAGTGAATTTGAGCGATGCAGATCAACGCAGATGCGTGCTGCCATCTGTGGCCGATCCATTGCCTAGTAGCTTCCACTGTACCGACAACACAGAGATGAAGAGCTGAATCGCTTTTGCAACATTGAATGGTGGATAGTTGAAGTTCTCTATTGTTTCTGACAGAACTATGGTGCAGTGAAAATTCCTTCGAACACCTAACATGTTTCTGCCAGACTATATATTCCATTATCAATACGTAAGTGTAGAATACACCAAAGAGAAACAAGAACATATCGCATCCCTAGGAAGATAAGTTACTTTTTAACGCTGCTAAACTTTTTAATATATCAAATTTTTATATGTGTAAAATCGTCTTCTCGTCCCATTGGCAGTCCGTTCTTGCTGTCTAATTTTAAATTTTATGACCTTATGGCAAGAAGTAAAAGCTGTTCGTCACCTTGAGGCAGCTCTCAATAAAGGCTTCCTATATTTTCTGTGCAAATGATGACATCCGGGTGTAACATAGGGCAAAGTTTTATCCAATGATTGCAATTTACCGTGCCATCCTTACGTTATCTCCTTGTGTTGAGCCGTGTATACAACTGTGTGGCGCACCACTAATGAGTAGTATGCGTGGAAACGAGGAGGTGCAAAGAAATGGGAGAAACCATGGATCACCGTGGACGAAGGACGCGTGGTGCAAAAATCTACCTCCACCGATACGTTGTGAATGAAGGAGCGCAGCGGAAAAGCGAGCGCAAGACGAAATCTGCACAAATTCCGCAGACCTATGCGAACTCCGTAACCGATTGTTTGTGGTCCGGAAAAGAGCAATGAACAAAAGTGACTTACAGAATGCTTTGGTGGGTTAAGCCCAGGGGAAATATGGTGTTTAGGATCAGTTCACTATTAGTGCTGCCATCGGACATAATACGCAATTGGTTGGGTCAGCATAAACGGTTTCCATGGGATGTACAAAGCGGAGCATGTTTGAAGTCAATGCCTTTCCCGACTAGCAGTCCAGTAAAGGAAGCAGCTGCAGAAAACGAGCACGTTTACAGACGGTCAAAAGCATTGTCGCTGATGTTCGATTTCTCGGTTCCGAGGAATAAATGTGAGAGCATAAGGACTGAGACCCATGTTTGAATTTTATTCGTAACAGCAGGACTCATTCCTTGTGCGTAGTCAATGGAATGAAATCAAATTAGCCAAGCCGCTTAAATATACCAGATAACAAAAGACTGTTTTATAAGTAAAGATTTAGGTGGTTATTTGTGTGCGAGCTGGATTGCAAGTAGTGTTCACTGTCTGAGTCGTACATTTTAGCTTCCACGGCAAAGCAGACGTTCACAGCTACTGGTAATCGGTCGTCCTTCCCTCCTATTATTGAGAGGGTCTTCTTAGCCACATGAGGGAGTCCCTGACGACTAGATTATGTTCTAACTTTAGGCACCCAGAGTTAAATCCACGCAACAATTAAAACATGTGTGCGCCCATCATCCCGTAGACGGTGGCGCATTACACTCGACTAAATGCCCTAGGATAGTCTGGCAGTTTAGTCTTGTACCGGTTTATACTGTGGTCCAGGTTACAAAGTATGGAGATAGTCGACGTGACTCTACTCGAACGGTGTTGACATGCTGTGAAGAGAACCGTTACAGGACAAGTGGTTGTAAACGTCAAGCTGCTAAATCTGAGGAGAGCACGTTGCGTGTCATACTCACCTAGTCACAGGAACTATAGACATAGACCGTAATCCAAGGAAGTGTATCTCTAATAGTAAAACTCAGTTTAAGGTCTGGTACTACCCGCATGGCCGCGGGATGGTGTGATACTGCGAAGTTTTGAACTAGCAAAGTGGTTATCCAGTGCACTGCCAGATTTCTGTGGTTGTTTGTCTGGATTCAATTGTGATGGGATCTGACTAAGTCACCCACATTGCGCTGGTATCTCCCGTTAGAGAGTACCCTATGGCATGGACATCATTGATAATCGCTCGGGTCAGTCGGATTTAATTTGATGAAACATACTAAAAGATGCTGCTTCTGCTGGCAAATCAGGATTAGTGCTTTTATTACTACTACTGCTGACCATACAGGTAGTCCTCATCGAGCGTTCATTGGGTAGCCTTCCGCTTTCACAGACTTAAAGTCGAAAGAGTATGTCTCTCCTATCAACCGCTGCTAAGTATTGAGTGCCATTGATAACGTCTATCCTCAATGTTCATTCATATCAACTAATCTGTGAATCGTGAGGAAAGTAATCCAGCTCCGTATTCTACTAGGATTTAAGCCGTCTTACCGTCTGACGAAAGTGCTTCCCTTGTTAGTGTCGTCTTTGAATGGCGGGTGCGCAACATGCGAGATCCACGTGAAGCCACGTTGTTTTGCAACTCACACAGCTGCACTCGCAATCCAGAGAGTTCGGTGTCTCTTTCAGTGAGACGAATGAAGATCAACTGTTTCTCTTTCATCTATAAGGGAAATTTAAAAAATTGCACATCTATCGATAATAAACATTGCTGTAAGCTTTTAATGCAGATTAATATAAAAACTTGCTAGGTTTTTACACGAGCTGATTCTGATCAGGTGATAAATTAAACTGCACAATTTGGCAAGCCAATAAAATGGATTCTCATGAAGCCTCTGTAGCACATTTCCTTTGTGTGTTTTAAAATAATAGCTTTTTCCACCGAGTTGCCGACTGTAAGCAAAAACCTTGTAGAAACTGGAACAGGTGATTGGAAAGAACATACCATTCGGCGAAATATGATAACGACAGGATATTATCACTCATTTATGTGGGAAGGTATAAGTGAGATAATTTTTCAAATTTACTTGTAACTAGTATCAGTTTATGCTGAAATACCAACTGGTTGTGTCAATTACGATAGGAGAGCTGGAAATGGTTCGGAAGTGCGTTCGAGCTAACCTCGGTCAGTTAAAACACCAGGCCTTATCTGGACGTCGCTCACTCCTATCGCTGCGCACTATGGTCAGCCGTCGTAATTTTGGGCCATTCGAGTAGAGACAGCGCAATAGGACACCAAGCTATTCGGTAGTTTTAGGGCAGACGACTTTATCACAGTGCTGCTAAACCATAATTGTTTCGGCAATCAGAAACTGATTGCGTGGCTTAATCTTTCGGCCTACTTTAATTTCGCGAGTAGTGTAAATTAATTGCACGCTCTCTAGGCGTAACAGTGTCGCCTTAGATTTCGCGAAATCCACAAGGAAAACTGACTACACCAGTGTCCGTGACATATATTCCACGTGACTTCTACTCATCATGCACATGCAATGAAACTGGCCTTCAGCTTTCGGACACACAAATATGACTTTATGCATGCACTTACAGTTTCTTCCAACCTTGATTGCAATTGCGTGCGCTCCTGATCAAACATTGCTCTCTCATGGACCAGGCTTGCACGCAGCCGCTGAATTTCTTGACGGAGGATATTGGTTGCTTCCAGTTCCGCCTGAGCAGTGGCGGTAGCTAATTTGAAAAGAACAGAAGTAATGATGACGATGCAAACTATGCACAAAGAATGGGGCCAATGAATCGATCTACACAAAACGATTGAGGTCGTCCTGACTATGTGAGCTCCATGGCTCCATTCTTTGTGATAACTGGGAACAGGTATATGGAACCGAGGTTAAGTGAAAATGTGGGATTCGGTTAAATGATTTTGCAACACTTGTCGGCTTGTTTATCTAGGTTAACCTGCTCCATAGGGGTTTTCATATCACCTTAGTTCACTGAATACTTCGGCATTGTTTTCTGGCGTTGTTCTAGTAACGTGCTGCAGTTTATACATGTAGTGAAGTGTTCACACTTGCATTACATTACATATAGAATTGTAATGGTATTTGTTTTTTGCAACGCTTTATCTGTTTAGCTGAGTGTGAATCCCGCTTGCTTACATTTCTCCGGTGAATCGTACTCTCTGTCCTCCCTTACCTGCTCTCCATTACTTGTGCTTTTTCGCACTACATGTGGGGCTCAATTGTTGTTATTTTTCTCTCTATTCCCTTATTTGACATGCCCATTATATGTCGTTGCTTGCTACCAGTATAGCAGCATCACCCCACAGGTGTATATTCAACGGAGTCCAGTTATTTATGTTATAAATGTGTTACGGGTATGTTTTTAATATTGCTTATAACCCGAAAAACAAAAGGTTCCTCTGTAAGAATTAAGTTACCCTACCGCCAGGGCAAAATTTGCCGAAAACAGTGAGGGGAAGTATATCGAACCTGGAGCCGGCTGTAAACGAATGGTTCATCATACATGTCGTTAAAGAGTTGAATTAGTGTTGCGTATAAAGTAAATCACTTTACCTTCGCAACCTTACGTCCAACTCAGCCAATAGGTTGCTGAGAAGTCATAGAACAAATGGGCTGCTCTCGGTGTGTGTTTGTGAGGAATCTACAGGGTCTTGTAGGTGATGCCCTCATATCCTAACGTGCGTACTCCTTTCCTGACCACATAATGGAAGGAATCCAAAAGAAACTTCAGAACGCGGGGATTGTAGAGAGCAACATCGAAACCCCTTACTTCAGGAAGCTTTGTTACCTTTTAGCTACAAATGTTTGTACAACAGATCGCCTTTTACATGCATTCAAAGACTCCAGCTGCTCAGTTGTATTGGCTTGTTAACGGGTTATACCTAGATCACTTATTCAACACAAAATGTAACTTTCACTGCGGTCACCTGAGAGCGACTGTGTATATAGAGTGATTATGAGTGTTATGCGTCACACCACCCGCAATTTCACCCACTGTATCAAGGTGTATGAGATTCTTCGTCATTCTGCAGCTATCCAGACAATCAGCACTAAATCAAGCCTACAGTGTGCGCGTCTGTGTGCTTTAACTAACTAGACGGAACGCAGATGACCCCGATGCATGTATATACGTATACCAAATGAATTCGGCGAGGATACTCACACAGCTTTTGAACGGCTAACTTAGCGCAGGGAACCGGCACTCGTGCAAACCGAAACTAATCTTATCAGGACAAGAACAAGGTGTGTTTATAACGAACTAATGTTGATTTCAGGTGTTGCGAATCAAAGGCAAAGTTGGTCGGTGCGTATTCCGTGGTCTGATCAACAGGGCGGTTGCCCAGTTGCAGGAGGAGACGCAATTGCACGCGGAAGAGAATCAGGATGTGTACGCTCCCATTCGATGTACTAATCCGGGCCAATAAGGCGGCGTATGTGGTATGTTTGTCTGCGTGATGAGTATTCTTGCCTTTCAGAAGTTAGATGTTGATTGAGCTCCCCGGTGTGGCTGCGCCTGATGTGAAGGTTGACTAGGTGCCTACCTCTCTAATACCCACCACCTCGATTGCTGGCTCTAGGAGACAGTTGGTCATTGCTGGAGGGGACGGAGTGCGCCGTTCTCGTGACGGTGCTAGGCTCAAAGCGTGGTTCCACGTAACCCATGTGGAACGGGCTAAGGCCCAGCCACCGCCTCGTGTACGTTTGGTGTGCATGATTTTCCAATTAAGTAGGAATACTTCTGTTCTGCTTGTTGTAGGAGTGTGGGCCAACTCCGTGGATGAAACCTGGCTCCCATCCACATGCCTGCCGTTCTTATTCCTTCGGGTTTACACCGGATATAGGGTGTGTGGGTGGAATTGTGGGCGGTGCAGCGCAATCCACCCATGCTCCCACTGTAGGCGCAGGCGTCCTGCGGCTTCCCCCGTGGAGGCCACAGTGACAGGCAAATCCGGAGACGGGTAGCGTCAATACATGTGTTACTGTGTGTTAACCTGTGTACCTGTGCGACTAATAGAACAGTGTAGGTTGTTATGATTTCACCAAAGCTTGTTTATTATCCTACTGCTGCATGAACCGGCCAAAATGAGTGGCGAACGACGAGAAGACGGATCTCCGATGAAGCGACGGTGCAAGCCATCGTCGCTGACGTAGTATGAGATCATTGCCAAGCTTGCGTTCGTCAACGGCAATACCACTCACGAAGTTGCTGAAGTCATTGCGGTCCTCACTAATAAAACACACTATAAAAAGCACAAAAAGTGTGAGCGGAAAATTAGACGAAATGCGAACTTGTTTCTATTTTTGGTTCCAATCCTGTTTTCCTATGCCGCCATATATATATATATTGTTTATAGGGCGTCAAATATTCAAAAAGTTTACTCAGCTGGCTCGTCTCCAGTTTGTCCGTAAGAGCGTCAGCGAACAGTGGACCCAATTTTGACCCCATGGCTTACCCGTCTGTTTGTTGGTATAACTGTCCACTCCAAAACTATTTCTCAAGCACAGTACTGTCACCATTGTGCTCTCCCACTGCTATCTGTAAGAATTAGAACCCTTCTGAGGTTTGAGCCTCTGAAAGTGCAACCCGGAGTACTGACACCTGAATAGTATTCGCATTGAGTGTAGAAAACCCTGACTTATCAGCAAGATCTGCAGGTCAGGTGCACGTCAGTTCTGCACATGTTGTAGTCGCGCGGAGGGTAACGATCACTCTGGAGACTGGAATGAGCGGGGACAGAAAAAGGTATAGCCATTATGGACGAGAAGAGATGGGACAACGAGCGGAGAGCGGATCGCGAATGACGAGCTAGTAGGCCTCAGCCAAAGAGAAGAAGTTTTTTTGAAAGGCCAATAAATCAGATCGAAACGTTTTTGTCGGTGCATCTAAGATTAACCCCAAACCGAATAAAGCAACCGTTCGAAAAGCAGTTCACGAGGTTTATGATGACCCCAGGCTGTCCCCAATGCGAAGACACGAGGTCAAACAGTCCGAACCCACCAAATTGCTGCAAAAGGAAACACGAATGTGATAGGTGGTGATTTCCCATGCATGGTGCGTTGTGGGACAGCAACATGACCTAGGTATGAGCGAGTGCGTGAGCTTGGATGACCGCGGTCAGGTGCAATAAATATTGTGTTGATTTGCTGCTTCGTTATTGCTACACCTTGACCCGACTGAAGCCACAAGTGGCTACATATACTCCTTCACCCCCTGCTTCAGCCCTCTACTCGTTTTATGCAATCTTAGCAAGTAATCGCGGTGAAGTTCGATAAATCAATTAAACAATCTGCGTACGGAGTTCCAACACTTCTCCGCATCGTACTATCAATCGGTCAGCGACTTGTGTAATTCCGGGGATCGGGGCGACTGCGACCAGCAAAGGAGGACTGCCACTTGTTTGCATGTTGTAACATAACTGAATATGCGAAAGAAATCCAATTGTGCTACGTTTACCAATATCGATTCCGCATCACACATGCGGAATGTATGTGTACGGGTGTCAACGCACTCTGCAAAATACTTTCGCCACACAGAGCCAAGACTAAACTCCTATCGCAACTACCAGTTTTCAAGTTGGCTTGTTCTTTAACACTGCAATTCTTTCAAAACAAGCTACTAGTTACAATAAACAGTTCGCAAATATTTATCTAGCCCCTCTTTATCGACCTGTAAAGGATGTGACGATGGTTGTTTCAAAACAGCTGCTAAGCTATACTGATGTGCGTCCCTTTTCATTGGATCAGAAGATTCCAGCCCAAATTCGTGTGACACACATGTCCCCCTATTTGATTGTATCTGAACCGCTTCCGATTTTTCCGATCAGCTTATATTCGTTGTTCTGTACATGATTGCATCACCATGCTCATGCCTACGCTGACGTGCCACGCAGTGCCGAGGATAAACAAGTTACTTAATTTCACAAACTGAACGCATGTACAGGAAGGCTGACTAAATGAACTCTTTATCAATCGTTGCTCACGCTTATGGCGGTGTATATGTGGAATCTCGTAGAAAAGTGTGCGAGATTAATGAACCCAGCCGATACGATGATACTTGCGTAACTTGAAATGTTGACAAATTTAATGTGAGGATGACCGTGCAAAATACACGAATTATGACTTGCGGTGTAAGTGAGTAGTAGGGGTATTTAATGGGTATTTGAGAAGATCCACTGCAGCCAGACTCAGTCAGACAGCCACCAGGTATTCAGGAAAGGGCCGGATCGCGTCAAAGTGGACTACAAGTTACTTTGACGTAAATCGCATCTGGGTCGGTCACTCAGACAGGAGCTTCAAGGGCTAGATGTCAAATTTCAACCGGCAAAGCCCACATCCAACGATCGAAACGCAATAATGCTATCTCCGCTGAAAGAATGCAAAAATGCAGGAATCCGTTCTAAGAGTGCAGAGCTGTAAGTGAGCAGCACCCAAAATTTATGAGCTCCATGTTTGACCCCAGTGACCGATCTGGCCTATAAACACTTCAATGTCAAGCGTTGTCTAGATTCAGATTAATCAGCATTATTATCCAGGTTAGCTAGAGTTGGGAAACACCTCAACTACTGTGCCGCAATACATAAAGAAGGGAAAAATGCCACAGGTGCATGCCAGCAAAGCTACCAGTAACTGATGAACATCGTTCCGGAAAGCCACCAACCGGCTACTATGCAGCAAAAAATTTCGTATGCAAAAGTATATCAGGCTAAG